CTTATTTCATGATATTGTAATATTGCTCAGACTATTTCTGTGTTTAGCATCCACTTTAATGAGTTATTATTTAGGATTATTTTCTAAGAAATTGAGTTTGATTAGTTTGAATTTAATTACTGAAAATCATGGTTTGGGTAATGTTATCATTAACCAAATCTATACGAGTTACAACAACATTTAATTTCCCTTTGGGATCAGTAAAGTTGAATTTGTATCATTTGAAGGCAAAATTTTACCAAGTATTTTTTTTGTCCATTTTCTAGTGAAAATAATTTAGTACACTTAAAATAAGACAAAACTGACTAATAAGCAACTTTTGAGCAAGGTATAGAAGTTTGTTTAAGTAAATAATTTCTTAATATTGATTATAATAACTACTAGTTCCACTGGTGGAATATTTCATTTATAATATGAAATGTTATATGTGAAATAATCTACCAATAGAACTAGTATTTTTTAATCAATATTAAGTCATTTTTGACTTAAAACAAGCTTTTATATCTTGCTGAAAAGTTACTGGTTAATCTTGTCTTATTTTAAGTGTAGAGAGATATTTACATTTGAAACTCCACTAAAATACTTAGTAAGTGCACCCTGAAATCCTTTCTTGTCAGAGTAATTTCAGTTATTTTTTACTTGGGTAAAAGACTCGCCTATCAGAACATGTTCAGCCTGAAACCCGATACCTGCTCTGCTGCATCGATTCAAACATTCACCACAACAACCCGCCGTTTCAGAATCATGTCCGTCACTGTCAGCTGAATGTGTGTCAGAACCCACGGGATTTTCCTGCCTCTCTCCCTTTTCATTTCTTCTTTGTCTCTCTGTCTCCCTCCCTCTCCTTTTCATTATTTCACACCTGGAAAACAATCCCTCCTCGCACGATTGTAAAGGTCAAGCAACGCAGCTATCTGCCTGCCAGAGCCCAAACATTTCTCTGGCACTGTCTGTGAAATCGTGCGCCGCGCTAACATCCTTTGAGAACTCTGACTAATTAATAATTTAAATATGAATGATTTCATTTGCATAATCATACAAGTGGAAGAGATATGGCACTAGTACCGAGCCTGGCACCTGGAGAGGGAGCTGCTTGTAGCAGATGGCGGAGACTGGCAGAGGATGGATGGAGGGAAACACTCGTTTCTGTGCAATAATTAGCTGCTCTTCCCTATTGCATTATGAATGTACTGAATGGAGACTAAAATAGGAGGTTAGCATGCTTATTTTTTCCAGAAATCTCTTGTAGTTTCTGTTTTTGCTGAAATACTGTGGATGTTCTCACCAACCAAGGTCACACTACAAAAACACTACCGTGTTTCCCCGAAAGTAAGACAGTGTCTTACTTTCTTTTTATCCCCAAAAGCCCCACTATGTCTTACTTTCGGGGTATGTCTTATATTGGAAAAAAATTGTCGAATTTACTGTGTGCATTACCGTATTTTAAGCAGGAGGCGGCAGTGACAAGTGCAGGGGACGGCGCGGTGACGTATGGAGAGGGGGACGGCGCAGGCGTGGGCAGGAGGCGGCGCTCATTTGGATCAGACGGAGGCGGCAGACGCGGTGATGTATGGAGGGGGGGGCGGCACGGAAGTGGGCAGGAGGTGGCGCTCATTAAGGTCAGAGGGAGGTGGCAGACGCGGCGACGTATGGAGAGGGGGACGGTGCGGACGTGGGCAGGAGGCGGCGCGCAGCTAGATGAGATGTGTTTCCCCGAAAAGTAAGACATATGTCTTACTTTCGGGGTACGGCTTATATTAGCCGACCCCCCTGAAACCCCCGATACGTCTTACAATCGGGGGTGTCTTACTATCGGGGAAACACGGTATATCTTACCAAGTAATTTTAATCTCCTTTTCCAATTTAAAATAAGGCCAAACTAACTTACAAATAACTTTTTAGAAAAATAAAAGAGGCTTGTTTTAAGTCATTATTTCCTTAATATTGATGAAAAAATACTTGTTGGATTGGCAGATTATTTCACTTATAACATGAGGTAGAGAGCCACGATATATCGGTATTGGCCGATAGTCATTTTTTTAACATATCCATATCGGTCCGGTAAGTAAAACTGGACCGATATGAACAACCAATATTTATTGTTATCCTATTGCAGTTTGTTTTCTGGTATTTTTTTCTCTAAATTTGTCGAAATGATAGTGAAATATATATAATATTGGTAAATATTGGTAATAACAGCAATATTAACATTGAATATCAATATCGGTTGAAATGTTCATATCAGTGCATCCCTATCATGGGGAAAAAGCTTTTTATAAGTGAAATTTTCTGTGAATACTCACCAATATTAAGGAATTATTGATTAAAACTAGCTCCTTTATTTTGCTGAAAGGTTTCGTTTTATTTACTAATATAATTGCACCAGAAATTTGACCAAAGCTACTTGGTTAGATTTTGAGTTTTTGCAGTGTAGCTGCGTCTACATTACAAATAATTGCAAAATATTGCTTTTTTTTTTTAAAGTTGCCAAAACACAATTTTGTTATTGCAGTGTTTCCATTAAATAAGAAACTCAATTAAAATCTCATGTGAATAAACTTGTTCCTGCTGCTAGTCATTAAAAAAACATGTGGCTCCATCATCCTCCAGCCATTTCCTGTCATCTTCTTTGTCTTTTCTGCCAGTAGTAACATTCTGTTGTTGATGTCATGTGAAAAAAGGTTTTCCCATTATAGTTTTGTGAAATACATTAACTTCTAATATCAACAGAGTTGAAAAACCACTTCATCCTCCCTCAAAAAAGTTATTTTTCAAATTTTGCATGCTTCCACAATTTTTTTAAAATATTATTATTATTATTCTAATTTATGCAATTTTAAAGTCAATAGAAACACAACTACTGATGTTATGCTAGGATCCTGGGGTAGGAGTGTCCTAACTTTTCTCACATATTTTTTGTCTATCTCTTGTCTAAATCAAGGGTGTTCAAATTGTGGAGTGTGGGCCAATTTGTGGCCCCTAAACAGATTTCGTGCACTTCCCCCACCCACCAGACCACAAAAGTGAAAGGAATTAGGACAAAACTCAGGTTTTTTAACTAAGTCTACTTACAAAATTGTTATATGCAGCACAAAATGATCATCTCTTGGCAGCTTTCTGATTTCCTTCTGTTGTCATGGTAACGAGGACCACGTCTACTCATTGACTTATACTCTAAATTGCACCCTGGAGCACCCAAATCTGTTTTTAATTGCTTTATTGAAACTTGGCTGAATGCAGCAAATGTTTTCAAATAAAGCCTGACCCGGATCCTGTTTCTGTTGGTGGGAATAGACCAGTCCCGCAATAAAAAATAAACTGGATGCCTTTCATCTAACAACCAAACACATACAATCACAATCTTGTGTTACTTTCTTTGTTTAATTGAGTAGGTTAAGTAAAAACAAAAATCATGATTTTTTTTTTGTGTGTGTGTGATTTTTAGTTTTTAAAAATCATATTTGTCGAGCTCATGTGACAAAAAGTTTGGTTTAAAGAGTAAAAATAAATATTTTTTTTGGTGTTTACTGGAATCAATGTGATAATCCTTAATTTTTCATAACTGGAAGGCTAAAGAGTAATAATAAAGAAGCCTTAAACGCATTAAAGTTCAAAGAATGCCAACAAAAGTCACATCTTGGGAACTGATTTGATTGAATCAAAACATTTCTGTAGTCATTCATTAGCAAGTGTTTTGATTTTCAGTAATGCTTAAAATTTTTACAGAATAGGCTCATTTAAATTTCCTTTTAAAACACTAATTCAGCATTCAGGGCTGAAGAATGTTTCCAGGGTTGTCGGTTATTTAGCAGCACTCCACTGTAAGGCTGAAAATTGCAGGTAATCATGATAAATTCAAACTTCTTATGCAGGAGTGTTTATTCTGTTGATTTATGCCGTCTTGTCACACATTATTGTTCCCTCACTGACATCCGTGATGATCTATTACCGCTCCGACTCCAGCCTTTGTTTTCCATTCTTCGGGAAGTGAATAGAGCGCCGGGATGTAATCAATGAAGTCTTCACTGTCCTCTCTGTGCTGCTGACATCCTTCATGCTTCCTCCCTCCTGTCTGTCAGTTTTCTTTTTTTTTTATCTGTTGTTGCCATGGCTACTCCAGGTGTAGGCTGATAACCGCATTACCAATTTAGTTTTAATTACCAGGAGGACCTTAAGGAAGCCTCAAGGAGTAAATTAAACGGGATGAATCTCTGATTTTTTTTGATTATTGATAATATTTGCACCGCAAACTTTTGTGACTCTATTTTGGTGTCCATTATGCTCAAGGGCCATTTGTGTATGGAGGGATTTTCCTGCCATAATCCAAGAGCACACATTTTCAGTCTGAAAACAGGATTTCATGTCTTTTGTTCTCAAAACTTGTAACGCTTGTGCTCAAAACTTCTCCTTGCGCTCACACTTAGTGTCTGCTGGGACTCTGTGCTCGCTTATGAAACATGGAACTGCCTTTTGGCACAGTCGCCTGGCAACCTCTCAGCCAATAGAAAGAAAGTGTTGTACTGGGTGCGTTTGTTTCCTTGTAGTGGGTGTACCTGTGTGGCTACTATCGATTGTAGCAAACTGCGCCACCCACTGGATGTTGGGAGAAACACTAAACATCCGCCAGCAGTGTGATACTGATCGCTAAGAGCTACTGATCTTATGCAGAACTTTGTTTACCCAACCATATATATCTATATCTACATATCTATAAATATATAGTATATAAATTGTAATACAGAAAACATGCAGAATCTTTTTAAAGTTTAACTTCACCTTTCCTACCAAAACAATAAAATAAAATAAGAAAAAAAAATCTTTAACTACTTTACACTATGTAGTATTTGGGCAATACTAATAAAAAAGTAAGAAAAATATATAATTACAAGAATAAAATCAGAATATTTTGGGAACGAAGTCATAACATTACGAGAATAAACTCATATGAGAAAAAAGTTGTAACAATTTGAGAATAAAGTCGTAATATTACGAGAATGAAGTCAAAATAATACAAGGAAAAAATTCATAACATGATACAATCATGATAATATGAGAATAAAGTCAAAATAATATAAGAAAAAAGTCATAATATAATGAGAATAAAATAGTAATATGACAATAAAAATTAAATAATATGAGAATAAGATCAAAATAATGAGAAAAAAAGTTTAAACAATGTGAAAATAGTAATGATTTTGAGAATAAAGTTGTAATTCTCTGAGTTAATTCCCGTAATACTATGACTTTATTCTCGTACAACGTCCTTCTTGTAATTTAATTTATTTTCTTATTTACCACTAATACTGCAGCGTAACTTTATTTACTTGACTTGAACATATTTTTATTTTCTTATCCCACCAGACAAAAACGTCCAGATGTCCTCAGTATATGAACTTAATTTGTTAAAATGTGCCCTATATTTTCTCAGATTCTCCTGCTGCCTAGAGATGGCAGTGTTTCTCTGAGCCAAACATCACACACACACACACACACAGAAACGCCACATCCTGCTGAATGAACAGCAGCTTCCCTCATAGTCGGCTCACTCCCAGATTTAACACGCTGCAATTAAAAGTACAACTCTCCTCCCATCTCTTACTTTCTGGGATTCTGCTTGTTTTACTTGCTGGATTAAAATGTCCCTCTCCCCTGATCCATCCGTCTCTCTTGTCTCCTCTGGGAGCAGCAGCGGTACAGCTCTTCTCCCAGTGTTTCATATGCTGCTAAATAATGAAGCGCGGAGCGAGGCAGAGCGTGATCAGCCATGCTCAGGCGGATCTTCAAAGTTTCTCTGCTGCCTGGTAAAACCGGGGAAGGAAAAAAAATATTCCCGTCATTAACGCAGAACCTCACCTCCGGACTGGACCCCCCGTTGGATTTCTAGCTGGGAGAGAGAAAAAAAAAAACATGACACTGATCAACATGTTCACCAGATGACCCTTTTCAGAAGTGACAGCAAATGATTAACACCTCCTGTATTTATGCTACATTCACACTGCAGCCCCAATTTTTTATTCATTTATTTATTTTAGCCGTAATGCCACTTGTATCTTTTCTCCTCATGACAGTCTGAACAACACGTGGGATTTTTTCCCCCGAATGGGACCCAGACTACATGGAAATCCAATTCATATCAGATCTATTTGTGACCTGAATCTGGTTTAATTCATCCGACCTGAACGTCATCAGTACTCGATAAACGTCACTCTTCTGCGCCCTGATATGCGCAAGCGGGAAGAAAAACCATAGACATAATATAAGGATAGACCCTCATGGACCGCTCTCGCCTATTGTCGCTGACGAGATTTAGGGCGGCCATCTTGGAGCGGTCCACCACTCCACTCAGCGTTATGTGTTTAGCAGCACAATAACGTATCAGCGGATTTAATCGATCATAACACGCTTTTTTGTTCCTGGAAACCATATTCAAACATCTACCAAAGCTACATTTATAAACAATTTTATTTAATTATGTTTTTAATACATAGTTCAGCATATTTAAATATGCTTAGTGGCTATAACAATAGAATAGGAATGGAATATTCTGATATCGATGTATGAAGAGCATATTATAAAGCACACACCCGTTCATAATTTATTTAATAAATTATTTAGTAATATCAATACATATTTTATATAACTATACAAACATTAATAAATAAAGATTAATAATGGCACAAATAAATAATGATTAATACTGAATTATATATATATATATAT